ATGACTTAATACTTGTGTTTACATTCTTCTGAAAAAGGAAATAAAGGTGGATCAGCTTATCCTATTGTGTCTGGTTTAAGAATGTGAAGTATTATATTCAGTAAGTTGAATAATTATATTTGCTTTTATGAGAGCAATATATTTACCTAGAGATGAATTTAACAGATTCTTCTTGCTGTTTATGTCAAATAACTCACAATACAAAATACATTGAGCTGTATGTTTAGTATGAACTTGACTTTGGCTCCAAGTGATAATTTAACTACTGGCAACACCCCACTATTATTTTTTCTGTTGTAGATTTATTTCTATGCAACTTACATCTTTGAACAAGCTGGCATCTCAGCAGAAAAAATCCCATATGTGACACTTGGCACTGGAGCTTGTGAATGCCTCACAGCCCTCACTTGTGTAAGTAACAATTTATTCTACCTCCAAGCATAAAGAGTAACGATTCTTCTTGAAGAAGAACATTGGTAAAGATGAGATCAATACAGTAACAGAAAATTATGTTTTGTCCGCAGGGTTTACTGATAGACTACGTGGGAAGAAGATATCTCATCATTGGGGGTTACCTCCTTATGACCCTTTGGAGCATTGTTTTAACGTTCTCTCTGACTTACCAGGTGTAAAGAAGGACTCATTTGTATTACATGATATGACTATAATGAGTGAAAATCTGTGACACTCAAGCTGGAATATAAAAGCTGCATAGGCTTAAACAGCAGCATAAAAAATGACAGCAATTGAAAGATTTGATCACTTCAGCAGCCGTATTTCCCTAAAATATGAGAATGCTCTCGGCTAAGATTTGATCATGTATTTGTCTTAAAGCTGCAGCTGTGTTTAATGCTGACAACGCTAAGCGTTTATGCTAGCTTTTAATTTTAGGATGAAATACTACATTGTGATGATACTAAGCATCAGAGTCCAGTTCAGTCACTTAATTGTAAAGCAAACAATCAAACAAAAAATACAGTGATGCTGAAATTCAAGGTACTTAAATCCACTAAGTGTAAATTCACAAAAACTATTGGCAACTCACTAGAGATACTCACAGTGCCTTAAATTTATCATGCGAAGACAACTTCCTGCCTCACTTCGACTGTAGTATAGAGATGAATCGTCAATTGTTCTGTATACTGTATCAGCTCAAATAAGGCAGCCCCACAAACCTCTGAAATGAACATTTAGAGGAAATCCATCTCTACATTTGCAGACCATACTATACTAAATATTTATTACCTTCAGGTAATCCAAGCAAGATGATGTAGGTGTAGCTGCAACAGTGAGCAACTGGATTTAGTCAGTATTTGGTTGCCTGATAAATCCTTACCTGACAAAGGTAGGATTAAAGAGCTGCAATTCTTTCCCTGTTCATGCCGTCGGTGTTCAGAGCTGGCTTTAAACAAGCGGGTCATGTGCAGTCATCACGTTGCAGGTCTGATGTTTAGAGGGACAGCAGGGTTAGGGGCTGCACAGATTGGCAAGCACGCTACAGAAGAGGCCCTGACGGTAATTTCCCTGTGGTTAGAGTAAAGTAAGCTGCTAGGCCAGGCAAAAAGTTGGATGAGCCAGCCGTTAGGCAGAGGCCTAGGTTTAATTATTTATTGTAACTTTTGCAAATGTCTTGGTTTGCTTTTGAAAAATGAGATTTCAAGCTTAGGTTTGGTCTTTGTACTGCAGCTAGTTTCATATGTATATAGTAATCCTAATGTTTCTTTACTGCACTATTGAAATCTAGGTATACATAAATAAAGTGACAAGAAGTCTGTTCATGCTATGAAAGGGCTTAATGACAGCTAACTCACGGGATCAGTATAAAATACCAAAATAAACACTGACAAAATGTTAAACGAGTAACAACACATAATTGTTACGTTCAGTACTGGTGTAAATTTTTAGCCTCTGAGGACTAATTATGAATCTCGACAGAAGCACTAACTCCATTTAGTAGAAATTATTAAATGAACAATATTTAATTTCTCCAAAGCAGCGCTGTTAAGTAAATTAGCTCTAAACAGCCATGACTGTCTGTTGGTCTTAGTTGCAATAAAATAGCAAAAGGAAATGTAACTGATAAGCCAAACTTTAAAACTGGATTATCAAAATGTGAACTAAACCTTCTCATTCTCTTCTGTTCCAGGAACTGTACTCATGGGTGCCTTACGTGAGCATGACGTCTATATTTGCCTTCATCTTAAGCTTTGGTTTGGGACCAGGTATTACACAGTAATGAATGTTTTAAAGTGGTGAAATGTGTCTCTGGGGCTGGGGGGGATGTCAGCAACCCTGCCGTGCAAGCCAGGCAGTACAGATTTACTGTGAGGCTGCTGATGCTCTGGCTAAGGAACGCAAGTGACATCACGACAGTTCAGTCTCCTGTAGCCTGAAGCTGCGGCTTACTGTGTGTGTTTCTCAGGGCCAGCTACGCGTGACCAGGGGTCTTACTTCAGGCCTTCGGTTCAGTTGAGTCATACAAGAAGCAAGGAAAAGCCCATTATGCTTTCAGAGGGGCCCTTGCTCCCTGAGCAGTGCTGCTGAAATAGGGCCACGTTTTAGAAGGACGCTTACTATAGGGGCAGTAGATTCAAAAATGTGCTGTTAAGAATAATTTAATAGAATCAGATCAGTTAGTGGCATATTCAAAAGCAACTCAAGTTTTCTGGCATTGGAAATACTGCAAACAGACATTTAGCATAATAACCTATTCTGTTTCTGAAACTCGTTCCCTCAGGTGGCATAACAAATACCCTGACAGCGGAATTATTTATACAGTCTTCACGTCCTGCTGCTTACATGATAGGAGGGACTATCAGTTGGATTAGTTTCTTAACAATTGGAATGCTCTTTACCTTTATAGTGGTAAGTACGCATAACACATTTTCCCAATTGCCTCACCTTTCATTTAATCTTCTCCCAGGTTCCATCAAATTGCTTTTTCTTATACAGTAACAGTTAAACATAGGATGCACACTACCCCTCAGCCGAGTAGAACTAGATTCAGTCCCTCTGAAAATGGTTTTTAGATATCAAAAAAAACCCCCCACCAAATCATGATAAATGAAAATTAAAAGGAATGCTTGGGGCCATTTTCATGTTCAGATTTAAAAAATGGAGGTGTCAAAACTAGAAAAACTTAATTGGATATTGAGATTCAAGTAACGCATTTCTTAATAGCGCCTTGTGCTTTTACGCCAAAGTAAAGCAGGAGTACCTGGGGCTGGGGTTCACACCTCCTCTGAGAGCTCGCTAAACTTACATACAGACGGTTCTGCGATCAGGAAGATTATTAGAAAAAACCAACAAAGGCTTTCGTTTCTAGCTTTGTCTTTTCAGTTTTAGCACTTATTCTTGAGAGCAAAACATGGAGGAACAGCACGCAGTCAAGCACAGTCCATCCTTCTTGGTTGAACTCTGCTTCTCAATAAGATAACTGTTTGGTTTTTTTAAATGTATAGCATTGGAAAACATTAACAAACATTCACAAAAAGATAAATCATATAATCCCCAAATCCAGTTATAATTGAAATACTTTGCAATCAAATAAATTTTATTTTCAGAATGGACTGAAGCAGTATTGTTTTCTGGTGTTCTTACTGGAGTGCTCCTTAGTTGCTGCTTTCATCTTCCTCGTAATTCCCGAGACAAAAAATAAATCTTTTCTGGAAATCAAAAAGGAATTTCACAAGCTTAATTTTGGAAGAAATACCAAAAAAAAGGAAACAGAGCTTTATGAAGGAAGACAACTCCAGGCTGCATTTTTAAAAAAAAATTGTGTAATTTCACAGTTGTAACACAACTTTAACGAGAATTATGAACAGCATCTTCTAAATTAGTGCAATACCACAAACAAGTAGCTTAAATCCTCCTGTATATTTAGAGGAAGTTTAATTGAAGGCGAGTTAATCTTTCTGAAATGCTATTAAAACATGTATTACTGAGATGCTATTAACAACGTATTACATTATACATTATAAGACTTGATGTTTAGATACAACTTGATGTTGCAGGGATGCAGAAATGCCAGGAGAGGGTGTTCAATGAATTCCTCCCCACGGCAGATTTCTTCACATAATTCAGTAGCTCTTCTTCCATTTTTAAGCCTCTTCTTCAGATTTGGGTAATCAAGCATACATTAATGCTTTACCGAATAAAATATTCTGAGGCGTTAAAACCCAAACAAGAACTGATCTACTGAGAAACCAGTATTTGAAATATTCTATTTTATATATACATTGGGGTATTTCATTGCTGTTTTTCACTTAAATAACTTCCTTGAAAGATTTAAGGACATTCCTCATCGAGTCCTACTACTGTAACTGTACAAAGACAGTACAGCACCTATCTGAATTACTGTTACTTGTAATAAAGTTTATTAGAAAGACTTTGTTTCCTAAAAGGCTACTAATAAAATAGTTTCTGCAATTTGAGTTTGGGTTTATTTTTTGCCCTAACCTAGAATTTTAGCACTTTAAACTGTGCAACAGGGTAAAACCTCGTCTAGTTTTGAAGATCAATTCCCGGCAGACTGAGATCAACATCACAAAAAGCACTAAGTAGCTGAGAGAAGAGATGGTAGGAATTAAATACTTTTCACCTTTAAAGATTGTTCAAGATGGTCTGATAGAACACACACAAGGAGACTACAGAGAGCTTGAAGGACCTATTGAACGAACTTTCTGCTTCATCTCCAGCATTTCCTACAGGACTCTTCCTCAACTGAAAATAAATTCTTTGTATTTTAGTAGTCAAAAAGTAAGAAATCTGAATTACATACGGTGTTTGTGTGCCTCTGATACTCATTTCCATACCTCCACCTGCTAGGACAGCAGTCCTGCCTTACCTATTACAACTTTTCCTGGTTGTAAGCATTTCCTGATTCCATCTGTTACTTAGTAAGTGCTACAGTAAGCGCTGGATTTCTTTTACGTTTATCTTCCTTCTCTCAGAATTAAAGCTTTTAATGAAAACGTAGGAAGCAAACACCATTTTTCTGATTTTGGTAACTAAATCAGCTGTTTAATTGAAAATAACATTAACTCAATGTTAAAGGAGGCAGTATCAGGAAGGGATCTTCTTGTTCTTTAGTTTATCCTCTAAGTTTGCAAAATATTTCATTTTGGCTAGAAGCTTCTTAGCTTCTTGAAGATCATCTGAAATGAAATAAAACATTACTAGTTTACAGAGGGAGGACTGAATTTTCATATTCAAAATGAATCTCAAGATTTCAATGATGGCACCCCTTTCAGTACTAACAGCTGCAAGTTATAAGGACCTATACACTATTAAAACCACATTGCCTATTATTTTCATCTCGGATGGTTTTGTGGATGGTTTCAGTTGAGGTGTTCCACAAAACATGTAAAAATGTACAATTTAGAAAAGAAACGTGACATGAATACCCTTTAATGACTTTTCTGTAAAGTGGCTATAGTATTGATGTAGCCACTGGGGAATTTTAAGTATACAAAACTTTTTTTTTAAAAAAATGTATGCAATTAGACCAACTGCAGTCACAGAAAAATGCAAAAGATTTGTAGGACTCTGGTATGGATAGTGTCAATTCCAAAACTGATACTGGAACAGTTTCTCCTTAATTAAAAAATTGGAGGGGAAAGGTGCTTTATCAGCTACTGACAAGAACAGACGTACCACAACTCTTAACTCTCATAGTACAAAGACTGACAGATTATGAGGTTATAATTCTTCACACGAGGGCCTAGCCAGCACTACTTTGCATTTGATGTTTTACAATTACAACACACTACTACATAAACCTAACCATAAAAGCATTCTGAGACCCAGGAGAGAAATGTAAAGGTTTCTTCCCAGAGTAAGAAGCTAGTTGGCATAGGTTCAAGCTCCTGCCTATCAATTGGTTGTGGCTTAAAGTTATGTTGATTATTGCACAGGAAGCCCCTAAAACCTTGGGCTAAATGGGGCGTCAAGTCTTTTCTTGCCGTACAGCTGCAGGAGTAAGAAGCAGAATTGTTTCTGCCTTGAGTTTCACTGCCAAGAACAGCACTCACTACTCTGTTGACAGCTTCCAGTCTGCAAAGCAAGACCTCCCAAACTCAAGTCTGGAACCTCAGAATAGGTGGTGAGTTTGACTAAGAAAAGATTCTGTCCTTCCCAGTATTCTGGGAAACAAACAAATTCTTACCATCTGCATTCCTACTTGAAGCGATCATTTTGATGCAAACTGAATTAACCGGAACTTTTGTATTGGATTTTTTTTTTTTTTTTAAAAATTTCATGTGAGGTCCTGAATCAGCAGAAAGGTCAACTTAGAAATATTTATTCTAAATACCAAACAAAGAACACTTGTTTATGTGATATTTCTGTTCTGTAGTTCAGGAAATATTTGCCAATAAAAGAATGTGGTTTTTTAAGCATTTGTAACTGGTATGTATGGCAGCTAAATACTTCATAGAAATAGCTACCTCTTTCAAAAGCTGCAGTCACTTCTTTGGTCAGTTCTTCTTGTTTAACTGTAAAAAAAATTACTTTGTTCACTTTTTGTTACATACTTAGTATATATAATACCACTGTATTCTGATTGTGGTGCGAAACTTAATTACTAATCTCATAGTCTTTTGGGAGATAAGAGAGCTTTCTATAATATTGCTGTCAATTTTTTAAATTAGAATTTCAAAAGATATATTTCTTTGTTTAAACAGGTTTACGGACAGCAATTCCAATGCAAATCAATGGGCACTTCCCAGAAATCTAACTTTTGGTTTCTTCTATTCTACTTAGTTTTTATTCGAGTTATTCTAATTGCTTTTGGCACACTACTGTTATTGCAAAGAATTAAATATACCGATAAAGTCAATATAAACAAGAAAGTTGCTTGTATAAGGATAATAACCACTTAATAGAATGGCTGCTAAGTTAAAGAAGGTGAAAGAAATACAGTGTCCGTATAAATGAAATTATTTAACGCAGTCAGTCAAGCGTTTTATTAAACTTCATTTTGAGTGTTTCTTTCTTTTAGAACAGTCTACTTGCCCTGATCTGCTGAAGGTTGAATGAGATCCTTTTTATAGTTAATATATATACCTATTTTGCCATCAGAATAGGTACTGTTACACAGATTTTCTCAAGCCAGATTTGATGTTTAGGTGGCATAAACTGATAAAGACAACATTTTTTGGGGACGGGAAGCTCTTGCAGTGAGGCAATTCAAGGCTAATGCAAGTCAGAAATACAAGAAGAAATACAAAGAAAAACTTAAAAGGCTTCAGAAAGACTCTCATATTATACAAGATACAGTAAATTAGTTCTGTACAAAACCCTCAAATCATAACCTACCTTTAATTAAAGTTTCAATTTCTTCAAGGATATCCTCATTTTTAGGCTCTGCTAATTTCTCATTAATTTCCATGATTTCCATGAGAAACACTGAGTCTGCATCACAGTCTGTCTCTTGTGCCGGCACTACTCCATGCAGCTCCAGCTGGTGAAGAAAATGGGAATTTGGAAATACACATTCCTACATTTATTTCAATGTGAATTATTTTCTTGAATATTAAGTCTTTTAGTAGGGCTCACTGAGATTTGCATCTGATAAACTTCCGGTTTATTCCATGAAATGTGCATAAACTAACTCCATAGGTAGACCATAAAAATCAGGAGTTAACCAAAGCAAAAAAGTGTAATGAAGGCTGCCAAGGGCCAGGCTGAAATTTCAAAGGAACAGCCATGGCCAAACACGTGTGATGCAGGAAACAAATCAGTATGAGCAGCAAAAGTAAAAAAGATGGTAATAATCAGTAAAATGTTAAAGAAAATAGTGAAAAAGCTGATTAATATTCAGACATGCTTGTTTTCGGTCTCCCTTCAATGTCTGGTAATCCTCTTCTTCAGGGGAACACAAATGAGAATGTTAATGATGGAGTCAAAGGTCTGATTCATTACATTACCACCAGCAGCCCCAGCCACCTATGATTAGTTACAGGAGTATTGATAAAATACGTAATGGACACCTTACTAGATAGAGGCCACGGCTCAAAGGGTTCAGGAGGGTTTGGTAGGCCTTGTTAATCAAGGAAGAGTGTTGCTCAGAATAGTACTGTTCTTTCTGTGAACGGATGATAAATAATAGTAACAAGTTAATAACAAGCAGCAAAATACATTACATGTTGTTACCTGCAGAGAAATAGTGCTCCCACAACAATACATGTGTGTAAAACTGAAAGGTGATTTTTAACAGAGCTAGGAAGAACTGGGAGAGGGCTCTCTGTGTCATCTCATTCAACTAAGATCTCAAGAACCACAGCAGCCCCTCATCGTCATCCTCCACCGCAGATCTGTGAGTAGAAGTCTCTTTTAAGCATCAGGAAACAAAAAAAATGGAGAGTCCCTATAATCCCAAAACAACAGGGCTGCGGGGA